GGACACTGTGTGCTCTGTCTCCAGTGAACGTGATCTCCAAGGACGATCCAGAATGATGGATGTGCCTGTTAGGCCCCAGAGGCCCTTGCCCACTCCTTGCCGCAGCTCTGTCGCTGCTCCTGATGACGGAGCAGGCAATCCAGCACATCCTGGGATCATCACCGATGAAGTTGAGCAGGCTCTTTTTGGGTTGCGAGTAGGACCCACCTTGCTGGAGCTCGCTGTTTCTCAGCCAGGCTTCATGGGGTTCTTTGAAACGTGCACCCTCATCGAAGTTCTTGTTGAACATCTTGGATGGGTGGCCCAAGCGCTGCCAGTCGCCCCTCTCACTCGTTCCCCCCACCCGGTCATTTCTCTTGCTTCTGCAGTCCCGGTCTCTGCCTTCCAACGCCTATGTCTGGATCTTCGATCTATTGTACCAGTTCCTGCTGCCAGCGCGTCGGACCTTGACACAGACTGGCTGGACAATGACCTGTCAGCACTGCTTGCTGACACACAAGTTCCGCCTCCATTTAGGGAGTCCTTTGCCCGAATCAAGCTTTGGCACACGGGCTGCCCTCCCGATGCAGGCATCTGTGCAATCCATGTTTATACGGACGGCTCGGCTTCAATGGCTGCACAGGACATTTCGCCGGCATCCTGGGCCTTCGGTGTCTGGTGTGAGACGTCTCATGGACTTTTCTACTACGGCGGGGCTTCGGGATGTGCGGTTCCACCCAACACCCCGTATCATGTGGGTGAGGCTGCGGACACGCCTGTGCAGGCTGAACTGCTTGCCCTCATCTGGGCCCTTTCCTGGACGGTGCAATACGCTCTACCCTTGAGCCCTCAGGTCTGCTTTCACTATGATGCCACCAGTGTCGGACTTGGTGTTTTCGGAGAGCACCGGGCCGTCAACTGTGAGACAGTGCCAGGGGCGCCGGCCCTCTCTGTTTTCGCAGGGCACGTGAGACAGTATGCAGACCAGCTCTTTTATATCACTCATGCTCATGTCAAAAGCCTTACTGGGTGTGTGCCCAACGAGCTTGTGGACCAACAGGCCAAGCGCATCCGACGGGCTCCTGATTCTGTTTGGGAGCGCTGTATGCCGCTGTGGCCGGCTCGACTTGCCCTGCACCCACTAGTTGCTTGGACGTGGATGCTAGCTTCCTCTTCGCATGACCTGCCGGCCCTATTCGCGCTGGAAAGCGAGTCCTATAGACTTCAAGGTTCGCCGCACCTGCCAGAGGTCTTCCATAGGTATGGACAGAGGGAGGTCCACGTCGATGCAGGTCTTGTGCGGATTGAGATTGTTGCGGTCTCCTACAACGCCCTTACGCTTAAGGACAAGCGAGGCAAAGGCCAGCCGGCCTCTGTCGAAGGAGCAGGTCTCCGCATCATGGGCCGACGTGCCATCCTGATACGCGAACTTGAGAAACATACCCCGCTGCTGGTCGGTATACAGGAAACGCGGCTGCAGGAGACTGCGGTGTTGCCGGACAGCCACTATATCATGCTGCAGGCCGGGGCCACCGGCCAAGGTGTGGGGGGTTGTGCCCTCTGGATTTCGAGACATCGTCCTTATGGCTTTCACGAGGGTAAGCCACTTTTTCTCCGGGAGGCTCATGCGACGGTTTCCGGGTATTCCCACCGACATATTCATGTATGCCTGGAGGCCCCTTTCCTCCGTTTGTTTGTATCTGTCCTGCGTGGTCCCTCCCTTGCCAATCATACAGAGACAGAAGTCGCGGCTTTCTGGAAGGACCGCCTTTAGGTCGAATTTGTTGGGTTTGGGGCTTTAACTTTTGCATCTGAGTCTTTAATGTTGGGTCTATTTTCTGGTTTAAGCCAGAAGCATTTGATGTCACAAACAGCTCCTGCGCGCTTAACTTCGAGCTCAGTGGGACCAGTAAGCTGACCATAGCAGCGTGCGTGCCAGATTCGAGTTTAATTGCGAAGACGCTTCATGTGTGACCGCGGGCCAAACTTGATTAAATCCAGCGATGATGATTTACATATTAACACGAAAACTTCATCCTTAGCTTGCTATTATTGAGGACAATATATGTGTTCATGTATATATATATATATATATACATGAACACATCATATTATATATTATATGTGTGTATGTATGTATGTATGTATGTATGTATGTATGTATGTATGTATGTATGTATGTAGGTATGTATGTATGTATGTATGTTTGTTTGTACAGTAGTAGTAGTAGTAGTAGTAGTAGTAGTAGTAGTAGTAGTGGTAGTTGTGGTAGTAGTAGTAGTAGTAGTAGTAGTAGTAGTAGTAATTTTAATTAGTATTAGTACCAGTAGTACCCACCACCCAATAGAGAGATATAGATATAGATATAGATATAGATATAGATATAGATATAGATATATAGATAGCTAGATAGATAGATAGATAGATAGATAGATAGATAGATAAATAGATTCAGATAATAATCTGGGTAGCATAGTCATGCAAGTTGTATCACACACACACACACAGAGAGACAGAGAGAGAGAGAGAGAGTGAGGGGGCAACTCCTCACCACAGCCCCGGCGAAAGAAAAGAGAGAGAGAGAGAGAGAGAGTGAGTGAACGACGAAGACAGGATCTTACCTAACAAAACCTGTAAAAAACCTTGTAAATCCTGAAATAGCCGATGCCTAAACCTACAGCTTCAATCTTCTTTCATCCAGCACAACTCCAGGGGCATGCCGGGTGCGAAAGTCTCAGTTCGAATGAGCACGAAACATGAATGTATTCTGCAGTCTTATTGTGCTCACCAGTACCCTTTCACAAACAGAGCCCTGGCTCATTCCCAGGTGGGTCGAGAGACCCTGCAAAAACTCGTATTCGGATCACAGTCGCACAACTTGCAGCTAACGTAAGTCTGTTTGAACTCCACTCCATTTGTCAAGTACATCCAGAACATGGCCCCTTCAAGGAGCCGAACCCTGAAGACATTATTTATGGTCTGTCATTGAACACACTTCTGAAGCCGCTGTGCTTGCGATCAAAGAAAGCCTCTCAGAGCAGGCGCACAGCTGCACCCTTTGTAAGCACCAACTTCCTCTTCAAGAAGTAGAGCGGTTTCTTGGGAGCAACCTCCTGCCAGGGCAGAGGAGCTTCAATTTCAACCTAGGATTAGCCATAAGACCTATCAATTTAAACCCTAAAGACTAAAAACCTTTAACCCACCCCGGCAGGCCCGAGCCGAATCTTCTTGTAAGATCTAAAAACCCTAAAGACAAGACAAGAACTAAAACTTTAAGCCGCCCCACAGCAAACTCAGAAGCCCGAGCGTCGAAGGCGACAGACCCAATTTGTAAAATTGCCCAAGCCCCTGACAACCTAATTCCAACCCTCATAAATCTATAGCTATAAGCTACAATTTCTGTGAAAGTGACACTGCGCGAACCTGGGTGTGCTAACATTGCTAAGAGCCGCAGTTTTCCGTCCGATTGCTCCCCCCTCCCCTCCGCGATCGTGATTGTGCACTACATGCCACTCACAAGCGCACACGTCCTCCTTTCAAACCGTCCTCTGGACCAGATCGCAACAGGCATGCCAATGCATTAAATGTCGAACAATGGCTTTTAAGCTGACGTAAAGGCTGCACGTGTAGCATCGGCCCCTGCAACAGCCGTCCGTGGTTCCTTCTTAAGATTGAGGGGACGTGTGCAACACCCATGACATGAAAAGCAATGCAGACACAATGATATAGTTTCAGAGACTTGCCGAAAGCACTATCTCATTGTGCCAGCAAAGAGTCGTTTTGTAAACATCGGAGCAAGAGGCTCTCAGAACCCGATAATCAAATGTGGGATCCCTGGCCTCGGCCACTCATAGCCATGATGATTGTAGTGCGAATGACAGCTGCCACCAAACAGTCAGTGTATAAATTTCAATAAGACGACCTCGGGTTCCTACAAACCTTAACCCCGAAGTCGTGGCCCCTTAAGAGGTCTCCTCAGAACTGAACTGATGTGTGCACCCAACTCCCGGATCACGGGTCTGAAGTCAATTGTCGTTGTACATATCTAGGGAAGCAAAGTCCAAAGAGCTTTCAATCACTTTAGTACAGGGACTGAAACATAGCTCCAGGCTAAGAGCTTTTAGTTCCTAGGTGTTTCGGGTACATTTCAGGAATTGGCTATTAAGACAGAAAGCGTGTGCTTTAGCACGTTTCCCGAGAAAGGCTTAAGGATTCTAGATGGCTCTGAAATACGGCTTGTGGAATCCAATCTCTAATTCTTTTATATGATAAACTTAAAAGACCATACACCTAAAAACTTCGAAATCCTGCAATTTAATCTTTAAGCCTTCTACCCTACAGCACCCAAACCGCGAAGCCTTGATTAAAACACCCAGACCATAACGCCTTGAAGTCCGGATCCTGAACACACCCTGGACACTAAGCAGCTGAATGCCTGAAACCAAAGCCATAAATGGCCCCAACCCGTGAATCCTTGCTTAAACGGCCCAGACCATAACGCCTTCAAGTCCCAATCCTGAATACACCCTGGACACTAAGCTCTGAATGCGTGAAACCTAAACCATAAATATGGCCTGAACACACTCTAGACACCAAGCTCTGAATGCCTGAAACGAAAACCATAAATATGGCCTGAGCATATCATGGACACTAAGCTCTGAACGCCTCAAACCTAAGCCATAAATATAGCCTGAAGCCATATAAAGCTTAGACGAAATCCTGCAGTTCAATCTTAATCTTTTTCTACCCGACAACACCCCAAACCATGAAGCCTTGATTAAAAGGCCCAGACCATAATGCCGACTAAGTCCCAATCCTCAACACACCCTGGACAAAGCTCTGAATGCCTGAAACCTAAACCATGAATGTGGCCTGAACACACCCTGGACACTAAGTTCTGAATGCCTATTAAGCTCCACCTTGAAGCCTGCAAGGCCTAAACTGGAAACCCTCAAACCCGTGAATGGAAAAAACCCTAAAAGTGAAGGCCCCAAAGTTTATCACTCAAAGAAAGGCAGCAGTCAGTCCTGATCATCCTGTGAGTAGGACACCCTCCAGCAAAGCTGAAGCATTTTGGAATCCATGAGTTCACGATTGTTGAACAAGCTGGCCAAACTGGTGTACTTCACATTGCCCTGCTCCACGGCCGCTTTGGGAATCGCAGAAAACTTGAAGACCAAAGGGTTTTGCTCCTCCGGGGTGACCTCGAAGAAATCAACATCGCCGGCATTGCCTGCTTGCTTCAATTTCATTGATCACAGATTGAACATCATGAGTTTGCATATTATATCTGGACCACTAGGATCCTTAGTAAGTTAGCACCCATCCCTTCCAACCACCCACCTTCGGGGCGCACATACTCGTGCCCGTTCAAAGTCGTCTCTACCATTCCATTTGCCTCAAACTCGGTGAGAAGGGCTCGGATGGTGCAGGGCTTCGTATCCTTCAAGCGACGCGATCCGTCCTTAGGTCGAGAATGAAACAACACATTGGCCCTAGATCCCTCATCACCCAAAGAGCAGAAAAGTCACCTCTGTCACTTCAAGCACGACGACGCACTGGTCGCTGTCCCACCGACATGGGATCGCTTGCGGATCCTTCAGGACTCCTGGCAAAGATTCGGTTGAGCTTTACACAGCAGGCAACAGGACTTCAGTCATTGCGCAGCCGCGTGAAGATCTTGTTTTTTCTCACAGGCGTGATTGGTGAATCGCTCCCAAGCAACTATAACATCAAGCGAGCATTCTCAAGAGCTCTAGCTGAAGATATCCATCATTTCTGCTTTCGAATGATGGCATTTGGTTCCCCAAGGGCCCCGTGGCACGGCAAGCTGATGGCTTCAATCGGTAGTAGATAGGACTGCAGTGCATAAGGCTCCAGATGCTATGGGGTAGCACAGCGAAGCATCAGCCTACTGTGTCCAACACACACAGCTCAGGAGTCAGTCCCATCTGCGGCGTTTCAGCTCGGTCTGGCTGAGGCCAGCTGCGGCTTGCTTGCGCGCGGGCTGGGTCTTCCACCTGAAGCAGCTTTTAGCACAAACCTCCACCCGTAACATCGTCTACCTAGCTTCGTAGGCCTTTTGTTGTAAGGATCCAGTGGCAGTCAGAGGGGTATCTTGAAGGAAGGCTGGGTTTCTGAATGATAAATGCTTAGGATTGTGTTGGGTTTTAGAGTGGCACTTCGAGGCCATGACTATGTTTGAGGCTGAGTTTCTTCTCGAAATGATACTAATTAAGGTCTGGGATGATTCGGGGTTTAAGTGGTACTTCGATGCATGCAGCAAATTACAATGCTTGGGTTAGGAAAGAATAAGTTTTAGGATGATTCGGGATTATTTTGAGCGGTACTTCGGGCCATAGAGTACTATAATAGAGGTTTGGTTTCGGAATGCCTTGTAGGATGGTTCGGGATTTTGAGAGGCATTTGGAGTCCTGGGGTTTCGGAATTAGGATCCAGGTTTGCTTTCATCGAAAAGACCAGAAGCTCAACACTCCTTGGGGGTTTAAGTGACACGTCGAGACATAGTTTTTTTTTTAGTTTGGGGTTCAAATTGCTTTTCGAGCCAAGAGCAATGTTTAAGCTTTGGGGTCCGAATCGGAATGAAATCAAAGCCGGGGCACAAAGCAGAAATCTCCTTCAAAAGGACCTGGTAGGGCTTGGTGCCCTTGAGCTCCTTGAGCTTCTCGTCCTTGAACCGGATCCACTCCTTGGCAAGGAAGCTTTCCATGCACGGGCGCTTCTTTTGCTCGGCCGTCTGCACCGGGTCGACCTTCTGCTTCTTGCCGGCACCGCCCTTCTTATCCTTGGGCTCGTTCGATGCACCCTTGCGGGATGGCTTCGGCTCACTCTTCGCCTTAGCTTTGCCCTTGGCCATGTTCGCCTTCGGCTGCTTCTTTTTGCGTGGCTCCTTGATGCCCTTCTCCTCGGCGACGCGTCTCGTCTTGTTGATCTCTTCATCGCTGTCCACCTGCTCGTAGCTCACGGGGCTCTGAATCTCATCAGCCGCCTCGTCTTCATCAGCAGAACCCACGTCCGACTTCTCCGCTTCCTCGGCAACCGCCGCCTTCCTGCCGCGAGCCTTTGGCTTGGCTTTGGCTTTGTCCGCAGGACTGAGCTTCAAGCTGCTGACAGCAGCTGCCAAACCCAGCACGTTGGAGCTGGCCTGCCTCAGCAAGGCCACCTTCTCCGCCTTGCCAACGGGGCCAGGCTTGCCTTTGCTCGCCTGGCAGATTTCTAAATTAGAAGAGATTGAGGTTGAGGGCCCGAAGCCACTAAGTACATTGTGCCATTATTTCTTTGCTACCCCGGGATGGTCCGACTTAGGTGCAAAAGACCTGACATCATTCCGAGTTTAGGGTTTAGAGCTTTAGGGC